ATCTGTAAATATTTGGGTTGTTTTTTTCAAATCACAAAATCTTCCATGTACAGGAGATACTACGTGTTATTATAAAGAGCACTCAAGGTTGTGCTTCCTTTTTGAGACACGCCAGGCACTTCCACTACGGCATCTTTGGTCAGTAGCATTTGAGTTAGACTATGTAATATGAACAACGACCTGTAGAGTCACCGGTGATACCAGTATTTTTTACGCCGTAAACGTGACTTGCACCAGTTAACTACCACCGAAGGGATGAAAAGAATTGTTGGTCCGGACGAGATCCGATGCGGTATTAGGCTCGGAGATGTGCACGCGAATCACCTCGAAATTTCGAACTTAGAACTGTACTCGTGTTGGCTGTGGCTGCATCAAATTCTTTCTCTCTTCTATTTCTCAAGCATGAAATGGAAGGGAACCGGGCCTTAGTTAGTGAACCTTCTTTTCTGAACACTTATCAAACTGCTGTTTGTTTTCTTACCCACTGTTTATCAAAGTTACAGTGAAGGGTTAAACGAGAAGAAATTAATAAGACACAAACTTTAGCGAGAATCAATGAACTCTGCAACACTGGGCGATTTTTTTTGGAATGCAGCGTCGCCCAAATCCTCCTATTATCCGTTAACATGGGTGTCGGTTTGTGGGAAGGGAGGTCCTGGCGATGAGCGGGGACCAATCTGGTTCAAAAAAATAAACACACCTCGCCATTACGAAGAATATATGGTGGTGGATTAGGTGAATCTCTTATGCCAAAAGACTGTCGAATCTTGTTCAGAAGCCACTCTACTTCTTGATCCGAGCTATTCTAAATGTGTGCAAATTTAATTCGAATGAGCTCTATAGCAAATATTTCGGAATGTAATATCACATACGAGAAGTGGTAGGTTTTTTCCTTGATTTGTGTTTGTAGCTGATCCTCCCCCTGCTTTCAAACTTTTGCCATTGTTGTTAGCAGGACCAGCAATCTAAAGAAATGGTTGAGAAAAAAGTTGAAGTCGTGTGAAAATAATATGAATTTACAGTTTTTTTTGCTTTTTCTATGCTTCCACACAAAAACTTCATTCCCAGCCCAGCAACGTTACAAGACAAATGACACAAAAGCGATCGGAACTTAGCTTGAGAAACCCCGTCTTATCTCCATACGAAGAGCCGCTATTATTATTACTCAACTTCAGTGATGTTAATAAAAAAGAATTTCCTACGTAAATGATATGACTTTAGGTGTAGGAAGATCATGGTCAGCAAGTGTGTGCGCATGGTACTGCGGAGTAAGTCACACTCAGGCATGAGTGGGTAGCAAGCAGGGATCAGCCAATCCTGTGCAATTTAGGGGGAGGATCGTGTTGACGCATAAAAGAGGGTTGTAAGCCTTCAGTGGCGAGAGGCGTAGCGGTCTCTTCAGCGCCAAGGTCCAGGCCAGGGTCAAGCGAGGCGTCGAGGAAAATTCGGAAATACGACCCCCCCCCCCTCTGCCGAAGGCCGAAGTCCATGAAACAACCCTCTTTAAAAGCCGAACTATGAAAAAGTTGTTTAATTCTCCACCAAAACTGCTCATAAAAAAGCCCTGCTACCCCATCGTCCACAAAAAAACTCGTTTAAAAGTATAAAAGTGAAAAAGTCAAAGAATGATCATTAATGACGAGTCCTGTCAAACGAGCAAACGAGAAACGGAGCAAAAAACGTCAAACTAGTCACTAGAAATGGCGTACTATGACAACACCTCTTCTTTGTTTATTTCCTCCACAAGACTTACCAAATTCTAGTACTACACAGATTATGGTTCTCAAATTTACACGTCCCCCTTTCGCTCAAAGGAAGCCTTGTAAAAGCCTTCGCCAGCTGTGTGTTGACTGGACTTTGGCGTTGACCGTGGAGCAGCTTATTTACTATTGAAATTTGAACAAATATTCAAATGATTATAACTTTCTTCAAAGTTAACGAATTTTCAATCTGAAAGCTGATTTGGGAGTTTTGTGAAGAGCTTTTTCTAATCAGTACTGAAATTACAGGAAGTTATAAGAAATAACAAATTTAGATCAAATAACGAGGAAAATTCGAGACGAGCACGAGTTTTTACACTTTCCGGAGCAATAACTTGCTGCTTTCATTTGATCGCGCATCCAACTCAACACAAATGATATTCATACAACAACTTAAAGAGCATTTTATTCTATCCATAAAGCGGTCGCTAAAAGCAGCTTCATCCAATTCTAAGTTGTCTACTTCGTCTAGTTAATACAAAAAAATGCCGCAATTTGAGGATTTTGCCCCAAATTCAACTGAGAAACATCGGAATGAGTGCGAAGTTTTTTAGTCGCCAAGCCCATAACCTCCGTTCAAACTCATGCAATCTGGAAAGTTAATACGTCATCATAAACTAGAAGATTTGCTCTTTCTATAGGCAACTAAAACTGCTAAATACGTTCACTATTTAAAAAATGGCCACGTTGAGGATTTTTGCCCGAGTACCGCCGAAAGGTACTTTTTCGCTACATTAGCACTATCCCAACGACTATAGCTCCTTGCAGGAGCGATTACATACTGAAGTAGGAGCAGATTCAAAATCCTCGTGCTTTTCTCTCTGCAAAAAGTGTAAAATTGTTTAGCGGGTCTCAACTTTAAAGGTTACGTGCTTCTGAACTGATGACGCTGGAATGGTGCGTTTCTTTTGAAATAGATGTACTAGGTCGTACGAGTAAATTTTAACATGAACATTTGCAGAAGTCAATTCATTGATTCTTCTCTGATAGTATTTCGCGATATTACGATAGCCTGAGCTGAAGCGCGCGCGACGCAGCTGGGCCGCGAGCTCGCCACAGCTGGTTGGCGGCCGTGTGCTTCAGCAATCTCGTTGAATTTGAGGATTGTTAAGTGGAAATAGCGTAACAACTGCCTGGTTCGAGTTCACGATATTTAATTGTTAGTCCTGCAGCAGTATCGAGTAACACTAGTACAATCGTGCCACGAACTCCAAGCGGGCGCCAAATACGTAAGACCCCCCTCTGTACATGTCCGAGGATTCCTCAACGCAGCGCTTGACCCTGCTCCAGGCTCCCTGGCATGCCACTCGGCGTCAGCCAGCTGCGTGTTTTGACGTACACGCAACAGAGCGCCTGGATTGAGCGATGGGTAGCTCACCCAGGAACGCTCCAACACGTTAAGTGCTCCAAGCACCTTCCACCGCTCTCCTTCACTTTATAACAGATTGAAGTTAGTAAAAATCGAACATGAAGAACGGACTTGATACAGTCACTTCAATTTGACCAGAATGCGCGTAAAAACGTGGACTTCCTCTATACAATTTTCAAATAATTCCAGTTCCTTGTGCGAGGATAATACCTGTGCATAGCCCAGTCATTTCGCTCGCCGGATTGAATAGAAAGGTACATCGCCAGAAACCTAACACTATTCGAGCGGAGTGGCACCCACTGCTTGCCCTTCCCTTCAAGCTCCTCGCAGCCATGACTCCATTTTCAGCACGTAACCAGCACGCGCTGCGTCCGCGTCGCAGGTGAGCTTTTCCCTCCCTCCGAGACTCCAAGCACATTATGACTAATCCAATTAAATGAATGAAAATGAGCTTTTCAAATACTGTACTGCTGAATGTTTCTCGTCATTAAGCAATTATTGCCTTGAGCAACTTAGAGAGATTCGATATGATGTGCTCAATAAGTCGAAAGCTTGCAAAGCTGCTTTTTTTGTTTTGGGGAAATGTTCATAGACTTCAAAAAATGCAATATAATGGCCGCCCCATAATTTCTCCTACGCCACCGAATCCGCGAGTTTTGCTACTTTGTAATCAAAGAGGTACATCGGGAATGTTAGAGCTTTCCCTTGACATCTGTTTCCTCTTCTTCAGTGACACAAGAGGTGCTGCAGAGGAGCGACCGTATCACATTGTGGACTGACTGCGATGAATCATGATCAATGAATAAATCTTGTGGGTGGTTAAATTAGCCGTTGATTTCTTCTACCCAAAACCCTTGTTTGCAGTTTTTCTGCGAGTGGGCACATTGACAAACGTGCAGAATCAAATGGGATTACAGCCACCGCTAACTTACCGTAAGAGGGCTGCCAGGTCCAAGCACGGCGTTGTCTCCGTCGTGTATCGCAGAGCCGAAGATGACGAGAAGGCAAATGAAATACAACATGATTGCTGGTTGACCTGCATGTCCGTACATCGTTTATATTGGTACAAACAGCGTATTTAGAGCGATTTTTCACGTATTAAAATCTATTTCACGAATTGTTGTTATGTTCGTATTCGGATCCAAAATTACGATTATCACACAGGACGATGTACATTAAACGCTTTGACGACAGCCGTATGCCGCCAATTTTGCATGGACACTGTGTTACATTTGTTTTTTGCGCACATGCTCGATTTCTTCCTAGGTTTTTTGTGTTCATTTTATAGGTCATACATACATCAACATAACCAAGAACCACGTGGCTTACAGAATGACCAAATATTCTTTAGTTTGGCAGAGGTTTTTCGGACCTGACGAAAATATCCGTTCAGTTCATTCCTCATTTTCTTTTCATTAACGCGAACATGTAGATAAAAAAGAATAATAGAAGTGAATACAAAGCTAGTCGTGTGGCAAGATATGTGTTTTTACCGAAACAACCACGTCCAAACTACCATCTAGAGCAAACCAGTGCCACCAACTCGCTCATGTAATTGAAAAAAGCGACCAGAAGAGTTTTGTCCATCTACTGCATGACAACGCTCGGCCTCTCCTTGTAAAGGCCACCAAGTTCCTGTAGCCATCAAGTTCAGGTTACAGGAACTTGGTTAGAATACCGTTCGACACCCTCCTTATTCCCTGACCTCATCCTTTCCGGCTACCAACTTTTTAGACACCTTAAAGGAATCTTCCGCGGCGATACCTCAAAGGAATCGGAAGGAGTGATCATTTTGTCTTGTGTGTAGGAAGAGAAGCAAACGGACAAAGGCAGCTTTTAAACGATTTGTACCGACCCTTGAAGGAGGTTTGCGATAGGAAATGAGTGTCAAGGAGTCATAAAAAATTAGCGAATTCCTTTGTGATAGAAGGAAGCTGAGACCGATCCCAAGAAAACCATGTCATTACAATTCAAAAATACTGTAGTGGAAAAACAAACTTCTCTCTTACCTTTTGTACCCTCTGCGTTCATTTGTATTATAGAGTATAACTATTTGAGTTTCTTCCTGCTGAAAGGCAGTTTTGTATTGAGCATTAAAAAACCCAAGAGGTGGCTATGTAACACCCTTTCTGGTAGGTAGTTTGGTGGAAGTCTGGCGCATGAAAAGCCCGCTTTAGTTGCATATGCTAGAAGAAGTCATTGCTATAGTGAGTGTTTTTCCTCGAATTATGTAGTTAGCTGGTGCTATTTGAACAAACAGAGCAAGGTAATGTTAGGAGTTTTTGGGCAGATGCGCCATGTATGCTTTAGGTCTCCAAGCTGCCTATAGATTCTATGAATTTCCAGGACCACAGCTCTCTAACTTATCTTCAACATCGATATATCGTAGAGGTAGCAAGGAAACAAATTCTCCTAACAGTGCCGAGTTTCTGATCAGAATTGAACACAAGTATT